GATTTGAATTTGTTGGAATTATTTGCAAGCACATCCGAGCATTGTTCAAAAGGGACCAGATTGAATATATGCCCAATAAATATATTTTGAACAGGTGGAAGAAAACTGCAAAATCCAGATTGGTGTCAGATACAAATAGCAATGAAATTAAAGATTGTGCGGACACTGGTCTTTTAATGAAGTGGAGTACAATGTCCCGACTTGTTTCAGATGTTGAGGATGCTTTAATGTCTAAAGAAGGTTGTGAGCTACTGTCAAAGAATCTAAACAGTTTGTGGGTGAAGTTGAAGTTATTGAAGGATGGAGTAGGTAATAATGAAGTTGGTGAGTTCGACTCTTAAACACAATATATGAAAGACCCTAAGAGAGTAAGGTGCAAAGGAAGCTCGAAACGAGTAATGGGAGTAAAGGAAAAGGCAATGAAGCCAGGGATTCAACACTGTCAGGAGTGTGGACACACTGGTCATAATACAAGACGATGTCCAAGAAATTTGAACACACTATAAGATATTAAAATTATTTATAATAACAACTAAAATTTGAAGAGTTAAATTTTTTATGTGCTTGCATTTGGTGTTTATGCAGGACATCACCGTCGAACAATGACGAATCAACTCCAATAGATCTTAGTGACCACCCATTATTCGACGAATTTGACAGGATGCATGAACCTACCGAATGATTTATGTTTCTATTATACAAAGCCCGGTTGTTATGAAGGCTAATGATCAAGTCTATCTCTATTCGAAATTTCAAGCACTTCCCCAAAATAGAGCCCTATGATCAAACAGAAATCATGAAGAGTGAACTGAGCAATGTCACACCCTATTAAGAAACTCAATTCATCCAAGTCTTTCACACCCTGCCCGGTGACTCGACACAAGACAAGCCCATGCACAATCTGCCCACTAAACTGAATCTTATATATATTTACAAGATGGCCAAAGCATAATTTCTTTAGTTGCTCTAATTGTTTTGCCGTCAACTACGCTCGAATTGCAGCTATGCATGAATTTGCATGTGAGCAATTATTCACCCGTGACGCATATGCCTATGATTTTGGCCATACTAGTTGCACGTTGGATCTCATTTCTTGAAATACAAGATGAAATAAAGTGAGCACATATACTACCAGGTATTTGCACAATTATATTAGTATTTGCATTTACTACTAGGTATTTGCATAATCATATTAGTATTTGCATTTACTACAAGATAAAACTTACTCTTAATAACTTACCCAACATTATAGCCTCGCGGAAGCTCAACACCTCAGGTTTGTCTAACGGAAAACTCTTTTGGATTAAAAATGAATTTTTATTGTACTTGATATGGCTGCATTTAATTGCTATGGTTTTTGTTGACTCTGTTAATTGCAAAATGTTGTGTTTTAGGTTTGGTTTGACAAATTTTCACGCACTCTCAATCTGTTTATTGCAAAATCTTTTGTTTTAAATTATGCTCTATTAAACTACTATGCTTATATATCAAATGATTCTTTTTATTTTTGTTGGCTTTAACACAGATCATTATAAATTTATATAGATCATCTTTGTTTCAATAGATGATATATTTTTATTGGCTTGTTCAGTTTCAAGTGTTATTGGTTTGTTTGGTGTTGTTTTCTATTCTAAAGACTCGGTTTGGTGTTTGTTGTATGTTATTTGATTGTTTATTTATGTTGTCATAATTGGAAGTTTCACATCACAGTTGGTTGTCTCCATTTGCTTTTGTTAGTACTCATTGAGTGTGTGTTTGAATCCATACTTCAAATTACAAACCTTTGTGGGCATCAATAGATTGGATTGGTAGCTCCAATCTTCCTCTCTTCAGTCTCTCCTCCTTCATACCCACACTGATAGCAGTCACAAGAAGAACCATAGAGATTTCATGTACAACAAGCATCTAAGGGTTGTTGAGTTTGAAGCACTATTCGATTTCTGTGGCAAGATCAATGTGTGCACCATGACACCAAATAACACTACCTACATCACTTACCCTAAAGCTAAAAGTGTACTTCTTTCACTTACAATGAATGATAAGGAGTTCGAAAGCAAGCATTTGAAGGGTATGAAAGTAGTGATACTTCATAACTAGTAATTTGCAAATGTTTACCATCTTTGCTTTCAATTCATAATAAATTGTAAATGTAGTAAGAGCAGCAACTAGCTATATAATCTGAAATTCTAAAGTGACCTGGAGACTATATTGACTATGGAGTCCTAGAGGTTTGGTCTAGTCTTGTTATTAATTTCCTTTTGAATAGCTAAAATTCTAAAGTGATGTGGACAATGCATTAACTATGAGACGTTTCATTTTAGCATTCTTGCGTTGATGGTAGTTGTGTTTTGGTTGTGACCCTAATTTTGGCAAGCTTTTCAACTTGAGCATTTCTTTTCTTTGCTCAGAGGATGATAACTTATTATTTGTGTGACCAAGTTTTATAACCTTCTGTAAGTATGTATTTCAAATTTACAAGTTACAACATGCTACTTTATGTTGTTGTTTAAAATGCGATTCTGTTGAATAATCCTCATCCCGAAGAGGGCCATTGCCTTGATTATCAAAAATTAAGTAGTTAATCAAAATACTCAATAACTGGCATTGGGGCTTGTTTAGGTTGCGTGCATCTTCTAGGGAAGTTGCTAGAATGCGGGGTAAGTTATGTGGGTTCCCTGTGCGGGGTATCTAATAGCCATTCAATTAAATCGGATGGTTAGTTTTCAAAACAAGGTGCATTGTTAGAACCAGGTTGAAATTACTTGTTGAATGTGTTAGAACCCGATTTCATTTTAAGATGTTTCCCTCTCTCTGGAAAACTTAGAACCTCAATCCTCTCTCTTCAAACCTAACGCAAACCCACAATTACAAATATCCAAAAACCCTAGACTCGCTCCATTCTCATCAGGCCTTCACTGTGTTCCATGATTCATCTCCACCACCAAAGAGTCTTCATTTTCAAAACAGGGTGCATTGTTATAACCGGGTTTAAATTACTCGTTGGATGCATTAGAACCTGACTTCTGTTCAAGATGTTAATTCTCTCTTAAAAACTTAGAACCTCACTCCTCTTTATTCCAACCTAACACAAACCCGCAATTACAAATATCCAAAACCCCTACACTCGCTCCATTCTCATTAACCCTCCACTGTGTTCCTCAATTGTGGTGGAGATGGAGTCTTCACCACCAAATAGTCTTCTCTAATGTCCACCACAATCTCTCAAGCTGACTTTGGGAGGTGAGTTCGCTCTTGCTGGATTGATTTTCTTGGGTTATATTTGTTTTTTGCCGTGGTGGGAAATTCGTCATTTTTCCTATCAATAATGCATAATTTCTTTACAAATACTTTATCTATTTACTTGATTGTTTTCAGTGCGGGTGGGAAATTATGAAATTTAACGTCTTGGGTAAAAGATTCTAAAGTTAGGCTTAATGTGCATTAAGAGTAAGCATTTGGAGAGGATATTGGGTGAAGTTTTGTAGTTGCTAGTTTGAATTGCATTTGTGTTCTTAGTTGAACATGTTGGTTCTAACTTCTTTTTTTTTTAAAGATTATTTCACAAGAGATGATGTAACTGTTATTAAATTTTGCTTGAGTTTTGTGTTTTGTGTAATCGGAATCCAACAAGTTTGGTTTTGCGTCTTTTTTGCCAATTTGGCCAATGTTTTGTATAATTGGAATGCACTGATATGCACCAATGTTTGCAATGCAATCATGTTTGATTAATGAACTAATGTTTGCTATACAGTAATATAAAAGCAGTTCAATAGTATATGTTGGTAAAATGTTTGGGGGCTTAGAGGAAAGTGATGACTGTGTAATAGCTAATGGGACGGTTTACATACCTAAAGTAAGAAATAAGGATACACCAACAATTATGATGGAGTTCGACTCGCTTAACTTTGTTTATGATTTCTACAATAGATATGCATTCTTAGCTGGCTTTGGTGTTCGACATCATTTTGGCTTCAGGGGAAGAAGCCAAAAAGAGATTATGATGAAAGAATTTGTATGTTGTAAACAAGGTGCATATAGGAAAGATAAAACTCGGCTAAGAAAAAGACAACAGGGATAAGTAGATGTGATTGTAAGGCTAAGGTTGTGGTTACGAAGAAAAATGGGCACAAGAAGTATATCATCTCTCTTGTTGTAGAGGGACACAATCATACGATGACACCCTAAAAAAGAGTGCATTTTTTGAGATCACACTGTCGTATTTCAGATTCTACAAAAGTACTCACAAAATAATTCGGTTTAGTTAATATCCTCACTCATAAGAGGTAAGTATTTCGAGGTGCAATCCGGATGAATGGATAAAATCGGTTTTACCAAAAAAGATATTTACAATATTGAATATAGTGTGAGTAAGAAGTTTAGGAACCATGATGTTGAACTAGTGACTGAGTATTTTATAGCTGACCAAAAAGAAAAATGAGTCTTTCTTTTTCAATATTGAGGGAAATGCCGATGACAGATTTAGTTGATGTTTTTAGGCAGATGCAACTTCTAGATGGGCGTACGGGTTTTATGGAAATGTTGTATTTGATACCACATTCAACATGAATCGATACGGCTTGACATTTGCTCCAATGTTGGGAGTTAATAACCATGATTAGACAATTGTCTTTGAATGCACATTTTTTAGCAAGGAAATGACCGAGTCGTTTATCTTGATATTTGAGGAGTTTAAGAAAATCATGCCAAGTGGTGAACCTAAAATGATCATTACAGATCAAGATGTGTCTATGGCCAGAATGATCAATAGCCTTCCCCACTACATTTCATCGACTTTGAATATGGTGTTTATGTGCTTGTGTTTGGTGTTTATGTAGGACATCACCGTCGAACAATGACGAATCAACTCCAATAGATCTTGGTGACCCATTATTCGACGAATTTTGACAGGATGCACGAACCTACCGAATGATTTATGTTTTTATTATACAAAGCCCAAATGTTATGAAGGCTAATGATCATGTTTATCTCCATTGGAAATTTCAGGCGCTTCCCCGAAACGGAGTCCTGTGATCAAATAGAAATCCTGATGAGCGAACTGAGCAATGTCGCACCCAATTAAGAAACTCAATCCATCCAAGTATTTCACACCTTACCCGGCAACTCGACACAAGACAAGCCCATGCACAATCTGCCCACTAAACTGAATCTTATCTATATTTATAAGATAGCCAAAGCGTGATTTCTTGAATTGCTCTAATTGTTTTGCGGTCGATTTCGCTCGAATTGCAACTAGGCATGAATTTGCGTGTGAGCAGTTATTCACCTGTGAAGCATATGCCTCTGATTCTGGCTGTACTAGCTGCATGTTGGATCTCATTTCCTGAAATACAATATGAAATAACGTGAGCACATATACTACAAGGTATTTGCACAATCATATTAGTATTTGCACTTACTATCAGGTATTTATACAATCATATTAGTATTTGCACTTACTACCAAGTATTTTACATAACCCAAGAAAAAAATAAAATGAAAGTGAACCACAAACACGAAATGCCAAATCCAGCACCATTGACTGTAAAAACAGGGGAAAACCGTTACTTCTAACCCTGAACTGAAATTCCACTATTACTTACCAAATGCTAGTTCTACTTGAATAATCGTAGCTTTACTCCAGAAATGGAACCTATCACTTCCAAGGATTAAAATATCGGCCATGCAGATAATATCGGGCCTCCAATTTACGGATATTTCGGGGGATATATCATTATCGTTTTAGGTATCAGGAAGAAATCAACAAAAATGACAGATATAGGCATTGAAACACATAATTTTGGTGTAAAACTTTCATAGATGTTATGTACATTGTCAATGAATGTATTGAACAAATAAAACTCAAAATTTACTAATAATAAGATATATATATATATATATATATACATGATGAAGTATAAGTGGTATGTAATGCGCGTTAATGAAAAGTTTGAAAATAAAAAGTTAATTAGAATAAATAAACCATGCATAAATCCATAGTTTATTTAAACATTGGATTACAATTTAGATGAGTGTCCAACTACATAAATGAAGAGCTCCTATGAGGTTCAAACAATGAGGAACAACCATCTAGATTTATACAATAATCATACCAAGTCATGTAACCTGAGTAGTTTGTAAGCCATGTTTGAACATGGTGCACATATGTCTCTCTTGAGCTCCCTACTGTCCTCCCATATATGGGATAGTTAGGATTAACCCAACTAGTAGGTCCATAATCTGTTTCCTCATCTTGAGCTCCATATCTAGTTCCACTATAATTAGACATGACATAACCATAGCCATCATAAGATTCATTTGAGTTAGTACTAGGTCTAGTTCCTATGCTCATAGATCCAAAATTGATCGCCATGTCCTCTTCAGATGGATTGATTGGTTGGCTTCTTTTCTTTGAGTATTGCTTCCCAATTGCCCAATGCCTGGTCCAGCTTCTCTGCATCCATGATCCTCATCTTGGGTGGCATGAGTAAAATCAGCCTCAACAGTAAATGGGCTGTATTGCCTTCCTTCTTCATTACCTCCTGATCCAGCATTACTTCCTGTATCATTATCTGACGAATTGGATGAACTTTCCATTCTACTAGCACTAGCATCGTCTCTCAAGGGACGTCTTTGACCTTGCATAGGTCCAAGCATATGACTCTATCAACATCAACTCCTTCTTGGGCAGCATGTTGTGCTATAACAGCATCAGGTTGCCTTGTTTATCATGCAAGTGAGCTGTCATAATCCATTGTTGAATTGGATTATTATCATCATCAGATGGTTGCCTTGCAATGTCAAGAAGGTCTATGTAGTCATTTTCTGCAACCTTGTTCATTTAAGCCTCTTCATCACGTAGCTTAAGTTTCATATTATAATAGCAAAAGACAATCTTTTCCAACCTAGTATATGCGAGATGGTTCCTTTGTTTCGTGTGAATAAGAGCAAATGTACTCCAATTTCGCTCACATGCCGATGACGAACCTGTCTGTGACAATATACGCATAGCAATTTTTTGCAAGTTCGGGGCAGAATCACCATGAAGATTCCACCATTCTGCTGGGGGGGATCGATTTTCTTTATTTGACAGCCATCTCAGTGCGAAATGTCTTTCTACAATCTCTAAAATTTAACACCTGGATTCACAATGTTTTGTGTTCAAGATGCATAAAACTAAATTTAATGAGGAAGACATTGTTTTGTGTTCACTTACCTCAGCCCCAAATGCTTGCAAACCTCTATCCCCAGTTAGGTTCAACCTTTCAAATACGCGTTGGAGTCCTGAAAGTAACTCTTTATTGTGGCCAACCCCTGTTTCATATTGATATCTAGGGTTCAAGTAGTGGGCTACAAATATGAAGATTAGTTAATACCCGTTGTATAAATTTAAAAATTGATGCATTTTTACTAAAAGATTAAAACATACCAGCTTGATGTAATGGACGAGATAATGTGACATCCCATCTGTGATTGATGATTTTGAGAAGCCATTTTTTTCCCTTCAACTTAGAAATCTTCTCTTTCATTATGTGAAACATATCATATAAGATAGGCATGGTAGGAACTACCTCTGTGTCAACAATTCGCAAGATGCTATACAAAGGCTCATAGATGGATTGCACTCCTTCCATGGCATCCCAGAATCTATGATCAAGGACTCGACTTTCAATTCTCTTCCCCTCTTCTGATTCACTAAATCGACTATTATACCATTCCTCACTTGTAAAAAGTTGCTTCAACCCAGCTTTCTTATTTAAGATGCTATTGATGGTGATGTAGTTTGTCGCAAATCGAGTTGCACCGGGTCGGACCAAATCTCCTTGACAGAAGATCCTCATCTGAGCCAATAGCCAACTATGATTGTAAATGTAGTTGGTTAATTTCCTAGCCTTATTTATGACATTAGCCACCGACTCTTGCTTCCCAATATCTTCAAATATTAAATCAATGCAATGTGCAGCACAAGGAGTCCAATAAATAGGGTACCGCTCCATCATCATCTGTCCAGCCTTAACAAAGGCTAAACCATTGTCGGTGACAATATGAACAACATTCGACGGCCCAACCTCTTTTATGACATCCTTCAACAATTTGGCAATGTACTTTGCATCCTTGGTTTTATTTGAAGCATCCACTGATTTCAAAAAAATTGTTTTCCCGTTTGAATAGACCATGAAATTTATTATGGACAACCTCGTGGGGCCAGTCCATCCATCACTCATGATGGTGCATCCATACACGCCCCAATCTTCCTTTACCTTTTCCACATAGGCTTGCATGTCTGTGTGTTCCATATCTAAGTACTTATGCTTTATTTCATACGGTGATGGTGTGGCTACTCCTTGACCTAATATAAACTCATATTAGTAATTGGTGTGTTTAGAATATTTAAGTTCAAGAAAGGAAAGTTATAAGGAATAAAACAAAACCTGCTTGTTGGGCTGCAACAATCATATTCTTGAAATAAGGGGAACTTGCTTTTTGAGGAGCCACATTCTCAAGTATGAAGAATTTGCTGCAGTATCTTCCAAGTACCTCTGCTGAGTTTCTAATCATGCCTTTGATTGTTCTCTGTTTTGCTCTAGTGTTCTTGTGTGGCATTGATACCAGAGGAGATGGAAGTGGGTCTCGAAGGCTTTGAGTGCAACAGTATTGCGGTTGACTACTACCACTTGCTCCCCCTGCAAATCGTTTGCTTCCTATTTCATAAACTCCTCCTTGTCTAAACCGTTCTTGCTTCGACGCTCTAATGGTAGCAAGGTAATCTTCTTTCTCAGCAGGGTGCATGTCTGGAGGATATGCATATCCATCGTCATCATCGTCATCTTCATCATCAACAGGATTGCTACTTTTATTGCCCATGTATCCCTCTCTTGTTGTAGATCTTATGTTTTCTTCAACAAATTTCTTATGTTGTTTGCTAGACTCTTTCTCCTTTATCCATGCAATTACCTCCTTCTTAATATCTGGTGGTACTTCTTTGCACTTCTTTACACTCTTATGTGGATCAAATCCGGCCAAATGATACTTTAACCGTGTAATTCCACCACTTTTAAATGTGGATTCACAAAATGTGCATATGGTGCCATGCTTATTGCCTTCTATTGGACGAGCATATTTCCATGCCACATCAAGACCACCATGCACACTAGCTCCACTCGGTCCACTACTACTTGCCATTTTTAATCTATCACACTTAAAATATATTAAATGAACTTACAATATCAAATCTATCACAAAAATAATATAGACCATGAGGGAGAGCCACATACCTGAAATAGCAGTCAAAGAGAACTTGCAAACAAGGAAAGAAGCTCACAGACTAAATAAAAATTGAAAAGCTCGCAGAGAAAGAAAGAGAAGAGAAGGGAAGATTTGGTGCCCCAAAAAAAGCAAAATAGCCTTTGATTTAAAGAGGGCTTCTCTCGTGATAACAATGGGAACTTTTGGGGGTTGGGGGACAATGGTATATGGGCTTTGCAGACTTTATTTTATGGATTCCAGTTGGATGATTCTCTGACTTTGATGGAACTAAAAGTAGCCAAATTTTTTGGAGGTATGTGGGCAGTGAATTACATTTTGCCAATTGTCTGACTTCGAAAAGTGAAAAAGAAACAACCAAAAAATGAAACAAATATTAAATGATAAAGAGTTCCACAAAAAGCTCAGACTTAGATAAAAGCTTTCAACAGTTTAAAGGCGGAACAATAAGCCAAAAAAGAGAACCCCAAAGCTCAAAACAGTATTCCAAGCACGAAGTAAAGAATCAATTCTTCTTCCAAGTTCTTCTTTTCATGGCTCAAAAAACAGTCACTCACATTCTTTACATTATTAATTATTATTATACTAATATTTTGTCTATCATATAATCTACAAATTTACAAATATAGTGGTTGTGATCAATACACGTTAGACCAAAAGATGGGAAGCCAAGTTAGTGGCAAATAAGCTTGAGATAGGACATGTATGTCCCTTCAATTGACTATGCATAGATTCTTTTGATGCATACTCCAAAACATGCATACTCCAAAACATCTTTTGAATTGAATATTGCCAAAAGCCTTCACACATATCTAATCACTGCACATATACCTCCAAAAAATATTTTCAATTTCAATTTGCTTCAAAACTTTTTAATTTTTTTGGGTTTTGTTATGGGTATTGGGAAATATCGGGAAATATCGGCAAAATATCGGGAATATCGCATTTATCGGGGATATATCGTCGATATAGGGGAAGATATGACCTTACCCCCCAATATCGGTGTCGACAATTCAAAATGTCGATATATTGGTGTATTGGCCGATATTTCAATCCTTGATCACTTCCAAAATGGAAGAATTACGGCTTTGCTCCAAGGAATACGGCTTCGCTCCTTCCACGCCTTTGCCCTTTCCACGCCTTCGACCCTACCACTCAAAGTAACTAATTTTTCAGGGTTTAGAGAATCGAGTTGCCTTCAACCATCATTAAGCCTTCTTCCGAACCAGTTTAGATATGGGTTTTTGTGTTCAAACTTCAACCTTTGGGTGTCCAACGTTTGCAAACTTTGCTGGGTATTAATTTCGGGTTTGGGTTCTTCACCTACCCAGTTGTAAAATTTGATCTCAACTGTCCATAACCCTCTGATTAATCTGATGGCTATAAAGTGAACCTCACAAAACTTACCCCTCATAACTTACCCCTCACTATAGCCTCGCAGCTTGAGAATCGCCTTCAATGAATATATTAGTTATATCTAATTGTTTTGCCCATAAGTTCATTTTTAAAACCCAAAGCTTTTGCTTCCAATAGAGTTTAATCATAGAATCATAAAATGAACAATCAATTTTTTTTTTTGGTCAGATAAAATCAATAGTCTTAGTACAACCATTTTAGATTTTCGCATCTTAACGAATTGAAATTTTCGCTTTGGCTTATATGTCTTCCAAGACCTATTAATTTACCAAAAGTCAAAGAAAATGCTTAACAGTATAAATGGTGGAAATCACATTAGGTTGCTTTGAAAATTAATGGCCCGTTTGGTATCCTACCTGGATCCATTTTTTCAAACTCATAAAACAATTTTTGAGTTCAAAGCCCATAATTCGTGTTTGGTAAAGTCCAACTCAAAAACAACTTTTAAAAGGCCCAATTTTAAAAACAAAACAGGTGATTCAAGCGTTTCTGATTTTCTAATTTTGATTTCATTTTTTTTAGATAGTAAAAATAGTTTGGAATTTTATACTTAGATCTTAAAATCAATATTTAAAAATTCATTTTTTTTATTAAAAATAATTATTATTGAGTTATTTTTTTAGCAGCAGAAACACTAATAAATGTACAGTGCCCAAAGATATTCCTTTATATAACTTATATCTCTTCATGTTATCAACAAATCCGCTGTAGCAATACTGACAAATGGATATTGTAATCCGGGTTCGAATCCCGGCAGTGGAATGCTGTTTTATTTTTTATTTTTTTGAGTTGGGTTGTTTACTTGGGCCATAATATAAATGGGCTTGATAGGTCGCACTAAAAACTAAAAGGAATTCTGAATTGTCTATTATAAAAATAAAATAAAAAGGTAAAATAATTTTTGGTTCACGTGTTTTGCCTTGATTTCAATTTTCATCACTCTTTTTGTTGTTTTTTATTATTTTGCCAAAGTTGGGAAGGGGAATGAGATTTTCTCACACACACTGTCAATGTGTCATGGGGGTTCGAACCTAAAACCACTCGTCTGCAAGTCAAGGCCTTTTTTTACTAGGCTAGACTTCATTGATATCTTTTTTTTTTTGTACTTGATTATTTTTTTTTATCATTGTTCTATATTATTAAAGTTTTTATTGAGCTAAAATAAAAGGACCCAAAATAAATCCCTTGAACACATTTAAGTATACAATTATATATATATATATATATATATATAATTTTCTAGTTTAACTATAGGATTTCAGGCATGTCAAAAATTAATGTAGTAGTAGTTATCTCAAGGAAAGGGAGCCTAATTTTGTCTAAGTAGTTTGATAAGAACCTGAGAATCGCCTTCAATGAAGATATTAGTTATGTCTAATTGTTTTGCCCATACGTCCATTTTTAAAACCCAAAACTTTTGCTTCCAATAGAGTTTATTCATAGGAGCATAAAATGAACATCTTTTTTTTTTTTGGTCAGATAAAATCAACAGTCCTAGTATGGCCATTTGATTCTCTAATAATAAAACCAGCAGCCACCATCCCATCTTAACGAATTGAAACTTTCGCTTTGGCTTTTATTAGTCTTCCAAGATTTACAAAAGTCATAAAGTAAAGGCTTAACAATATAAATGGTAGAAATTTCATTAGGTTGCTTTGAAAATTAACGGCCAAAATAATTTTTGAGTCCAAAGCTCATATTTCGCATGTGATAAAGTCCAACTAACAAATAACTTTAAAAAAGCCCAATTTAAAAGACAAAAAAGTGAAAGTTTACAGTTCTCTCTCTCTCTCTCTCTCTCTTCTTTTCTTTTGTTAATTTCAATTTGGGAATACAGGGTTTCTAATTTTTTGATTTTAATTCAATTTTTTTTAGATCTTAAAAATAGTATTTAAAAACTCATGTTTTTTATTATAAAAAAATAATTATATTTTTGAGTTCATTTTTATTTAATAGGATACCAAATGGACCTAAATTATTTTGTGGTATCCAAATTTGCACACATTTAGTCAAAAAAAATTTCACGTAAAAAGGAGGCAATGTGTTCCTTGAATTGATCACCCAGTCCATAAAATGTGTCTTGTTGTCCTTTATTCATTGGATGCTGAGTTTCCTCATATCCAAACATTCATTTTGTATTTTATTTCAGTTCATTTTTTTAATATATATATATATATCGTTTATCTATATAAATATGATATATAAAACAAAAGATAGAGAGAAATAGTAAAACATTCAAAATGCCAAATATTGCCCTTACGTTGAAACTTTTCATTAAATAAGCATAATATAGTAAATTAATATATTTTTCATATTAAAAAATTTAAAATAAAAACATAGGGTCCTATTTTCTTGGGAGACAACTTCTCTTTTCTTTCTTTTTTTGGTTGGATTCTCTTTCTTAATTCTCAAATTATAAAATAAAAAATAAAAAACCAATTGGCACCAAGGTAGTGTATAAAAAAACTAACTAACAAAATATATACATACATTAACACAAAATAAGTTTCAAAATAAATGCACAGTACCCAAGGAAGCTCGTTATATAAATTATGTCTCTACACTTTGTCAACAAATCCGCTGTAGCAATACTCACAAATGGATAATTGTAATCCAGGTTCGAATCCTGGCAGCGGAATTCCCTCTTCTTCTTCTTTTTTTCTTTATTTATTTATTTATTTATGTGTTGGGTTGTGTACTTGGGCCTTAATATAATAAATGGGCTTGACAGCTCAAAAACTAAAAGAATTCTGAATTTTCTATTAACACCCAAAAGAATTCTGAATTTCTATTACCACCATAAAATTTACCAAAACAAAATGGTACAAAGGAAAAAGAACCATCCATTGCAGGACGAATAAGCTCAAGGTAAAACCTATAAAGAATTTTGAATTTTCTATTAACACCCTTAAATTTAACAATCAAAGAAATACAAAATGACAGAAAGAAAAAAGAACCAGCCATTGCAAGAATATGTTCTTTTTAAGTTAGTAAATCCAAGAGAAAAGTGAAAATTTGACATTCTTTTAGGTGTTTCGGTGGACTGATCAAATTATACGGGGGCATTTAGAAACTCTATTATAAAAAATTTAAAAAAAAGGTGAAATGATCTTTGGTTCATGTGTTTTGCCTCGATTTCAATTTTGATAACTATCTTTTTGTTTTTTTGTTAATTTTTTTGTTGTTGTCAAAGTTAGGAAAGGGAATGAGGTTTTCTCTCACACACATATTGTCAAGGTGCCATGGGGCTCGAAATTGAATTCACTAATCTACAAGTCCATGTTCTTTTCAACTACGGTTGTCGATATCTTTTTGTTTTTCCCAATTTGATCATTTTGATCACTCTTTTTTATTATTAAAGTTTGTACTAAGCTAAAAAAAAAAAAGAGGACCCAAAATAAAAAGAGATATTTAGTCATATACCCATTCTTAGTATTAATGATATAGATAAACCACCATTTTATTTAAATAAACAAAACCAAAAAATGATAGCTGGCCCTTAATTTAATTTTAATTAATTAATTATTTATTTTGATGTTTTTTTTGGTGTTTTTTTTTTTTTTTTTTTTTTTTTTTTTTTTTTTTTTTTTATTTTTGTGTTTTGTTTGTTTTTTTTTTTTTTTTTTTTAATTTCGGATTGTGCATATAGTTTCGGATTCAAGTATTTTTTGCCTATTTTGATCTTTGAGGGAATATCTAAAAATTAGACAGTTCAAATCATTGAAAATAATGTATGGTGGGCCATACAAGGAATATATATATATATATAGTTTTTAAAAACTAAACACAATTTAAAATTGTGCTTAATACAATAAGTTTTTTTAAATGAAAAGAACTAAGCACAATTGAAACCGTGCTCAATACAATTAGTTTTTTTTTTAAATAAAAAGAGAAAACATACTAATCTGTTTCCAACCAATTAACTTTTCCCAATTTCAGTTCTTGCACATGTGTGCTTACTGTGCAACATTAGAACCACTGTAACTACCATTTTATTGAATTTCAATAAAAATCAATAATTTTGACAAAAATAAAAATAAAAATAAAAATCAACAATTTTTTATTTATTAAAAACGAATAATTTAATCAGAACCAAAAAATATTTTCTAGGTGGTAAGTCTTCAATGATGATAACTTCAGTTTTTTGTGGAATAATTAACTGGACTTGAACCAACAGAAGAACTTTGCTTGGGACCCTTGTTACTAAACAAATTTTTTGAAACTTTCTTTCTGGAATCCATTGAAATTCCTCAACGTACATGTAAAGATAAGAAGAGGAGACGGTTTTATTGGTAACTGGAAGGCACAAATAAGCTTTTGTGGTTATAATTTTTTATTAATATTTAAGCAAAAGGGCACAAAAATATCTATATGATGGCTCACAAGACTTTTTTCAGAAATGTCAGCTAGTTGAGCACAATTATCTGTGCCTTATTAAATCATGTGATAAAAGTGTACTGACAACAAAGTGACAAGTACGGGAATTGAGCACGAAAGTTGTGCCTAAATTCACTCAAGCACAATTATTTTCTTTTTCTGTTCAAGTTGGACACGAAACTATTGTGCCTGTTTTTGCATATGACACAAATATTATATATATGTGTCCAATGTGATTCAAAAGGGCACAACCCTCTTTTTTGTGGCCTTTAGATCGTGTGCTTTTTGCCCAGTTTTTTAGTAGAGAGAGAGAGAGAGAGAGAGAGAGAGAGAGGAGTAATAAAATGAAAACAAAAATTTGAAAGTGAAAACAATTTTAAATATAGTTTAGTTTTTGTTTTCACTTTTGTTACTCCTCACACCCATGTTCCCTTATCATCTTCCCTCTCAATCCCATCTTCACTCTCATTTTCACTTCCATTCTCCATCTTTTTCCTCTATACTCTAGCACAAAAAAATGAAAATGAAAAACTAAAATTAAAATTATTATCAAACGGGCATTTATTTGGCCATTTGAGTCTCTAATGATAAAACCATCATCAACTGTCCCATCTTAACGAACTGAAATTTTCACTTCATCTTAGATTGTCTTCCAAGACCTATTGATTTGCCAAGAGTCATAAAGAAAATGCTTAACAATATAAATGGTAGATTCTTTGTCAGTGTGAGGGGCTTATAGCTCAAATAGTTAAAAGTATTATCCCTAAACTCAAGGTCCAAAGTCCAATTCCTCTCTCCTCTAATCTCTCTTGTATAAAATAAAATAAAAAAAGAATAATCCCTCGAGCAGAATCCAAATGCGATCCATTTGATATCAGTTACTTTATGATAATTAGGTTGAGCTTCTTTTTAAGTTTGTTTCTATAGCAGCTAGCTTCTTCTTTAACATGAGCAGAATCCAACTTGCGGTTAAGATCACTTAAGATGCAAGACAGTGTTCCACATTGGAAGATGGAAACTTCTCAATAGTGCTTAAAACATATCTTGGACTTCTCCATTTATTGCTAATTAATTTTACGTTGGATGCTAATATTCTAATAGTTAACCCGGCTCAGATTCCTATTTGATTTGATCATGAATTTATTTTTTTCATGGACCATGAAATTTAGAAAACAATTTAAAAAGCCGAAAAAGGAAAAGAAAAAAGGAACTTTACAATCCCAAAGCAAGATGGTCCTAGAATGAAGCCCAAATCATTGCGAAGCAGGCCCAAGGCTGAGATGCAAATTCAATCCCAGACCTTTATCTAGGTTAATCCCACCCTCATCCTCCGCACAACCGCTAAAACCCTGTAAAAAACTAGCATGATTTCCAACCCCTTCTTTAGACGAAGCCCTCATCATCATACATTCCCCTATCCCGGCCTTGCGGTAGACATGCCTCCCTAATGGCGAGGGGCCAGTCCCGGAGAGAAATGCATAGCGGTCCGATATGTTTACAGGTGCATGTGCCATGTAAAGACATGAAGGGGATTGTGGGGGCGCCGCTGTCGGAACCATCATAGAGGCCAAGAGGTGTGACGGTGAAATGAATGCTGGTATGATCGGGTTTTGGACGTGTGAAGTAACCAAGTTTCGGCTGCTAGCATGCATTTGTGCACGCTTTAGGATTTGCCTTTCTTTCTTGTGAGCATTCTGGTGGCCTCCCAAAGCCTGGGAATTGCTAAACTCACGGCAGCAGTACAGACACTCATATTTACGGAGGTCGGATTCTTGTGACGCAGATGAAGATTTGGTTATATTTGAGTTGTAGTGATCTTCTGATATGTTGAAACCAAAGAGCTTAAGAGGTGTGGAAGCGGAAGTTATTGTGGAAATTGTATTTTGCTTTGTATCATAATCAATAATATCAGCCATCAAAGGTTGGTTTTGGAGATGAGATGACAGAGATTAGGAGGATATACAAATGGAATTAATGGGTGACCTTAAAATTAGTGGCAATAACTTGCATGTGTGAGCTATTTAAAAGCTGTGGATCGATGAAGTACAAGAGAGAGTAAAGACTTGAGAGTCAAAAGAAGTAGAGCAACAAAGGAAAGAGAGGTAGTTGTTGTGAAAATTCCCATGACAAAGATAGAGTTAGAAGCAACATCATGGAGCAAGAAAACCAGGCCTTTAGATTACACTTGTACCATTTTCTTGTGGTGGTGGTTTTTTTTTTGGTACAATTCTCAAATGCGAAGTTACTTGCATGAAGATGATTTAGGTGCTAACTGAGGCATTTTTGTTCTTGGTACGCTTCAAATCTAGCAGAGTCTTTTAGTTTGCCTACAATTGACCATGACCACACGGGTCGAAGCTGAGGGTGGTTCAGAATAATTGCACCTAACTTGGCTTATTTACATGAAGAAGAAAAAAAACTTTTTTATCTGAAGCTGAGGAGGGTCTAGACGTGAGACCATGAGGTATATTTGGAAATCATTTGAAGCTCTTCTTTCTTAGAATCTCGCAATCATTTCAAGCGCGATTTGGGAAACAGCATACATTAAATCAAAATGTGGCTGTACTATTATACTTACATCCAGTCTGATAACACAAATGCTTTTGTTTGAAGTGTGTAGTCAAAATTAAAAACTTGGCACACAAAGAGACATTATAGGCAGTGGCGGAGCCAGAATTTCACATTAGACGGGGCCTTTCATAAACCTTGTATTCTCTTCAGAATTGTCATGAATTTCATATTTTAAGTTGGTTAAATAGTAATATCATCATCTACACTATTAAAGACTTAAATTTTGATAATTTATATTCAAAGAGAAGAAAAAAAAAAAAAAGTTCATAAAGTGCAATATTAAGGTACCCAACTCATACATAAAAAAAAATGAAGAAAATAAAAATTCACAAAGCTTTAAACAAAAGAGGAAGAGAAAGAAAGGTTAAAACTTTAGGAGTTTTTAGTGCAAATATCATAAACTAACCTAGAAGATTTAAGTGAGATGGGTAAAAGAGAGACCAATAAATTTTATGGTTAATTTATAGACAAAAAGAACCTAATATATTATTTTATTTTAAAGTAAATAGTCTAAAACTAATATAATATATTATAATATCATATATCATATATAATATACAAATAAAAAAATGTAAAATTGGAGTGGGGGCCTAAGACCACACTGTTGTCCCATGTTGGCTCCGCCCCTGATTATAGGAACAACAAAGAGACACTATATCAGGCAGGGACTATTATAGAATAAAAGTTGTGAAAAATGACTATTTTAGCACAAACCCGCTTATAAGGAGAGGGGCCATATGTAACATATTGACAATACAAGTAAATTTAGTGAAAAAGTGGTGAACATGAATAATTTCTCTTGATGAAGAAACTAAAGCCAATCGATGTGCTAAACAATAAACATAATAAGTATATGGATAATCATTCAGAATCAATACTTGTAAAAAATAATAATAATAGCCGGCTGTCTTTAATTTCCTATTTTCTTAAAGATACTTGTGAAAAAAAAAGATTTGATTGGTTGTTTCTTTCAATTTTTATTAATTATGTTGAGGGAATCCAAGAGTAACTTAGCCATTTTGTTAAGAAATTAGCCTTTTAGTTTGGAGGGGGAAATGTAAATCCCTCCTTCTTTTTATTGTGGGGGGGCCACAAACATTATTTTAATATATATATATATATATATATATATGTATATATATTATCCTAAGCTGTCCAATGCAAAGCCCAATACAATATATATAGTATTTTAAAATTTTAGAAGGCCCAAAGCCCATGCAGGCCTAAGCATACCTCTGCCATATGTTTATCGGAACAACGAAGCTCCAGGGAGATTTCTGTCCATTCAAGGAGAAACTAAGGCACATAGAGAGATGTTCAAAAGATGAGGTGAATAAAAACCAAACGACTGCATCATGCACAAAGTACAATCAGATTCCTTGGGAAAAAAAAAGTACTATCGCTATTGGATAAAGAAAAACCGACTTCTCTTTGATTTTTTCATTTCAGAATTTCCTCTGCTGCTAGGGCCACCACTTGAAGACCCACCTCCAATTCTAACTCCACCATTCCCAGCAGCTTTGATCTGCTGCTGCTTAAAAGTTGGTCTGATCAGAAGTGCTTGGGTTCCAAAAGTCCCTGTAGTAAAATGGGGGTGTCCTTTGGTAACTATTGGCGCAGTAGCTGGTTTGGACTCCCCTGCTGTGAAGCCTGTACTTCTGGAAAACACCCAGACTAAATATTTCTCATCAGCACCATATCATCATCAAGTCTAGCATATTACTCATATAATTAGCCCTTAAATGATCACTATGAGAACACAAATTAGATGTGACCATTTTTATGTAAGGGTAATGTATTTTAACCAATTTTTCAATCTTTTTTATTTTATTTCGTTGAATTCGCTCGTTCTGATTTAGGAATATTCTTTATTTCCAGATCTCAGCGTGACAGTAAGTTTAGGGGCATATGATCCAGTTAACATCATGAAGAAAGAGAACTGCATCACGTACATATATATAGTGTCATCAGAAAATATAAGAAGTGTGGCATATTCTTGGTTCAAAAATATCCATCCCAAACAAGGAAAATTGTAAAACTAAACTTATAAGAAATTATACCTCAATTCGGGTCAGCATGAATGGATATGTCCATACAAATTTTAATCCAAACTGATAGTAAGAATTAAGCTCGGACAATGTACAGTGAAGCTGAGCGCACTACGGCACAAACTCAAGTCACCAATTCTAGAAGCAGAGCTAATACGTCCGAAAGATCTTGTGAAAAAGGATGATGAGCTCCTAACTTCTCTCAGATTGTTACACCTCACACCATGATCATAACAGAATTGTATTATAGAATAAACTATTCAGATTGTATAAATGTGTACAGTATTGATTCCTTCATTCAATGAGAAGTAGAAAAAATTACCTCTTTCATTCATTTCTTCATGGTATCCAGAGCCACCCTTGCCTAACCATAATAACCAAGTAAAAGAATTAACATATGGGCAAAATACAAGAAATGAGATCACCAAAACAAATATACCTCTGGTAATCATCGATGCGATGTTTTCGAACCCTAGATTCTACTCTAGAAAGAACACCGCCATGATCCTCTTCATCTTGGGCTTTAGAAGCCTCAGAAATCCTCACCATTCGTTCTGTGGGATTATGCTGATCTAGCCAAAACCCTGATGAATGATTGGATGATGAGATGACCAAGTACCCCTTCAGTTCTCCTATAGATGTGGTGTGGACGAGGGTTCTAGAATAGTGGTTTGGCGATTCAATATGACTGGATGGGATGAGTAAAATTGAAGCTGACAATAAAGGTTACTTGGGATGTATCCAAAGAAAAAAATGAAGGGAAATACTACTTTTCCTTCCTTGTTTTACTTTTCTCTCCTTCACGGCAGCCTGGTGGCCCATCAATCACGCTATGAACATGGTTACGTGGATGTTTCTCAGAATCACACTGTTTTTAATCAACGTTTTAATTTGATAAGGTTGGCATTTCTCCAATTCTTTAATCAACGTTTTAATTTGATAAGGTTGGCATTTCTCCAATTCTTTAATCAACGTTTTAATTTGATAAGGTTGGCATTTCTCCAATTCTCTCCCTCCTAGTCTTGGCGTAGTTCATGTAGAGATTTGACATTTCTTGGATTTCATTATCTAAATTAATATTCAAAGTACCAGCTGTTACAAATAAACCTCTGAATTATAGCGTTAATAACACACGTTGTCTAGTATTGGTGACCTATCATTTGGTTGTAATCCAAATCTCAGTTTTTGTTTTTTTCTTTTTGCCAAAGTTAGGCACGCTACAAGCCCTATATAAAGCACCCCAAGTTTATCATCATATCCTCCTCACCCAATTACAAGTTAATTAAGTTTATCAGCAAGAGCAACAGCAAGCCAATTAAGACAATTCCATGATGATGATGAAGAGCCAAGCAGCTCTCCTCGGCCTCGCCACCTTGGCCATCCTCTTCTTCTCAGGTATAATATTATACAAACTTTGTTAGGTGATCAGATATCGATCAAAAGTTTATTTTTACAATTGTCTCTGTAATCTTCGTTCTTATGATCACGTTGAATATGCAGGTGCACATGCAGCTAAAATCACTTTCAAAAACAAATGTTCCTACACTGTCTGGCCAGGAACCCTAACCGGTGACCAAAAACCTCAATTATCACTCACCGGGTTCAAGTTAGCAACCGGAATTAGCCGCTCTGTGGATGCTCCGTCCCCATGGTCTGGTCGCTTCTTTGGCCGAACCAGGTGCTCCACGGACGCCTCAGGAAAGTTCACTTGTGCCACAGCAGATTGTGGTTCTGGCCAAGTCTCATGCAATGGTAACGGCGCAGCTCCGCCAGCTACATTAGTAGAAATCACTATTGCGGAGAACGGGGGTCAAGATTTCTACGACGTTAGTCTTGTTGACGGCTTCAACTTGCCCATGGCCGTGGCTCCACAAGGCGGCACCGGCAAGTGTAAGGCCTCAACTTGCCCTGCCAATGTTAACAAGGTGTGCCCGGCTCAGTTACAAGTGAAGGGATCTGATGGAAGCGTAATTGCGTGCAAGAGCGCTTGCTTAGCATTCAACGAGCCAAAATACTGTTGCACTCCACCTAACGACAAGCCGGCGACATGCCCTCCCACTGACTACTCTAAGATCTTCAAGACCCAGTGCCCTCAAGCTTATAGCTATGCTTATGATGACAAGAGCAGCACCTTTACATGCAGTGGTAGACCTGACTACCTCATCACATTCTGCCCATCATAAGCATATATATATATATAATGGGATCTTATATGTTATAATATTATATACATATAGTTCCCAATAATAGAGAAGAATAAATAAATTTCCTGGATCTTGACACATTGTTGATGTCAAGAATTTGTAATGCAGACGATCAAATAAAGGAATAAATGTTTGGATTTTATTTTCGTTCATGGCTTTCAAATTTTTGTTTCCTTCATTTCCTTATATGATGCATTATTTCCAGTGCAACAAAGCATGAGCATAATATAAAGAGAGTGAGCTACAATTGAAATGGTTATCAAACGGGAGTTTAGATACAGATTGTAATTTTCTATCATAGCTGGTAAGGAATAAGCATGGCCATTTACAAAACTACAGTATGAACAACATTGAGAAACACAAGTATGGCCATTTCAAACAGACTACATATAACTTCATATTCCAACAATGAATCAACAGCACCCATGGCCATTTACGTTTGCAGCAGCTGAAGATAGATCATCTAAATAATGTTAAAAGGATAATAGTTTCTAATGATATTTATTAAAAAAATCAATAGACAACCAACAGAGACTGTTTTGGTGAATTAGAGACAAATTTTGTTTTGGAGAAGATGATTACTTCTCAATGTTTGACGGCTGCATAATGCTAAAATATGAATATGGTTTGAATATTTTACTTTAGATTAGTTGTATTCTTCTCCATAAAGAGGTATATATAGGAGTTTATAATGATGCTTTACAAGGAAATAGATATAGTAAATCACCATGGTATACAAAGTGACTTAGAGACAAAAATTGAAATGGTTCCCAAAGCCTTCCCTTAGCAAGCAGGTACCATTGCAAGAATGGTTCCATAGTCAATAATGCCAAGACCCGGAAGGATGATCTCGAATTTATATGCATGTTTTAATTTCATGGGCCTGTGTTTTTATTCTACTACAATAATTAGGATTTGTTTACAACTATGACTTTTCCCAGAGCAATTTCAGGGACCGACTTGACTTTCACCATGCGGCTTCTGGAAGTGCAAATGAGCCATGCGCAAGACTTTTAGAGTGAAAAGGTTTTGTGCTGATTTTTCTCAATCATACAATCCGTTAATATACAAATTTATATACACGGAGAGGGGTGTATTCAATTGAGATTTTAAAAGACTATTTATAGATAAATAAGTCCAGTGGATTTTAAAATACTATTTAAGAATGTAATGACTTATAAGATTTTTTTAAAGATTTTTTATACTCAGGATTTTTATGTTTGAATTTTAAAGATTTATATCATAAGAATTTATAAGATTTGAAAGGACCACATGGATTTTTTATTTGTACGATGCTAACCAACCAACTTAGTTGGATGATGAGCAATGTCTAGTTCAATGGTGCACGAATTCTTCAAGAACAGCCTCTACAACCTAAGCTTTCCAAATGATGGTGGAATTTATCATTCCCAAAGGTTTTATGATAGGTACAAGGTTACTAGGCTGCAGACACTTGGTTCAAACAATGGAATGGAGCCATAAATAAAAAGCCAATGAAAGTCAATTGCGTAAAGTTGTGGGCACTTGCATCAGCAATAACATAAACGGGATCAAATGGAATGGAACAATAAATAAAAGCAAACATTCAAAGTTACAAGAGTCAATGAAAAAGATAACAAAGAAACACAATTTTAACAAAGAAAAGTAAAATTCAATAAAGTTTTCACAATCTTTTAATAGCCAATTTGATGTAGCTTCATGTCCTCCGAAGTAGCATTTCTCCACATATCTAAAGCTATGGTAGCCCTTTATGCATTAGCATTTTCTCGTTGCTGCTCCTGGATTTGAACAATAGGTTCCAAATTCTCTTCTTCATTAACTGGTAATACTGAAGATGAAGAAGATTCGTCTACTGGTTCAATTGGAAATTCATCAGAACGACACTCTTTGCGAAGAAAGTTATGTAGTGCTACACATGCTAACACAAGCTTTGCTTATGTCTTAAATGGAAATGGAGGCGCTGACTTAAAAATTGTGAACCGTGATTTAAAAATGCCAAATATCCTCTCAATCACAGTCCTCAATGATGCATGGCAAAGATTGAACAATTCATTTTCATTTTGAGGGTCATTACCATGACCTGCAAAATCTTGGAGATGATATCGCACACCTTGAAATGGAGCTAAAAATTGGCGCCGATTAGGAAATCCACAATCTACTAGGAAATATTTACCTAATTATATATACAATACATATAAAATTAGTATGAAAAGTTAAAAAAAAATATATATATTTATCATTTAAAATAAATACTTACCTTGGGGCACTTGAAGTCCATTCCTCCTTGATAAAGCATTATTTAGTAGCTTTGAATCATGAGTTGAACCCTCCCACCCGCTAAGAACATACATGAATTCCAAATCAAAGTTACAAGCAGCTAATACATTTTGTGATATCTTTCCATGATGATTACGATAACTGCTTACATCTCGTCCCCTCACCATTGCCGGAATATGTGTACCATCAATAGCTCCAATGCAATCCTAAAATTATTCATATATCACAATAACCATATTATGAAAAATATATATATTATAATAACAATATTATTATAATTAGATAATTATCACATACCTTGAAATAAGGGTAAAACCTTGCGCTTTGTTACGCAATAAGCCAGAGTTGTTACGCATAAGCATTGACATCTTGTTATATTGCTTCTTAAACCACTTCATTCGGCTCAAATAATGATTATAAGTTTTTGGGAATCTAATTTTCGCATTAAGACGAGGAAGTATCACTCTTTCTACATTTTGCTTAGCATCACGCAATCCACTATTGATAGCATCCACCAAGAGATGCAACAACTCATTGGTATCGTCCATGGTCCAAGATTCATAGTTTTCTTTCTCTTTGCCCTTTCCTTTGTTATTTCCTTGTTGTGAATCCCCCATTTAAATTACTACTACAACATATATAAGAAATTTATTAGTTATTTCACAAGAATACATATCATACCAAACAGAAAAGAAAAGAAAAGAATTTCACTCATGTCCCTATTTCCTATTTTCTTTCTAACTTTGGTGAATATTAATGGCAAGTCCCAGATCTTTGGCATAGTTGCTAATAGTAGGAGAGGGATATGATGTGAAGGCTAGGATGATTGGAATTGTCTCTGCCAATTCTTGTTTATATGCACGTCACAATTAAACCCACAAAGCTATATATATAAGACGCAGATTGTAATCTTGCTAGGATGATTGTGAAGGCTAGGATGATTGTAATCTCGCTATTATTGTTGAAGCATGTACAACTACAAATCATGAAAGCAACAACAACTAACCCATCCAAACCATAAGACGCAGACCATAAACAACAATTGTTTGATTCTCCCATACACCCCCCGAATATAATACATGATAGCAACATGGCATATAGCAAATATACAAACAATAAAAGCAAGAAGACACAACATGAGAAGGAAGTAATACCTTGTTCACGAAGAACTGTTCAAATTCACGAAGAGTTGTTCAACTTCTCTAGCAGAAAAAAAAAATCTCACGTGAAAAGTCTGATGGGTTAGGGTGAGATTTTTTATAGGGTTTGGTATTTATACCTCCTACTAAAAAGTCACACAAATTCCTAATTAAAAAAAATCCATCGAAATTAGCAAGTTTTTGAATACCAAAAGACTTTTATTACTTATTTAAAGTCCTGAATGAATACCACTAGATTTGGACACCCTCTTTAAAATATCCTAATAGTTCTGATTGAATACCACAAGACTTATTTAGATTACTTAAAAGTCTTAATTGAATACCACAAGACTTATTTATCCCAAAATAGTCTTTTAAAATCCTAATTGAATACACCCCCCGGAGACTACTAAAGAATGTAAGACTTTAAGATCATACAAACTACAAGTACTTGTTGAGTCCATGTTTTTTTTTTTCATCCAGACATTCATGTTGTATTTTATTTTCCGTTCATGTGTTTTTTTATCGTTTATCGAAATCATATAAATATGATATATAAAGCAAAAAATAGAGAGTATAGTAAAAGTAAAAACAAAAACAAAAAATATCCCTTACATTAATTATTTTTCTTCTAAATAATTTTTTTTTTTTTTTTTTTTTTTTTTTTTTGTTTTTTGTTTGTTTGGAATTTATTACGCATTGAAACTTTTCATTAAATAAGCACTAGCCTATCCGCACGGCGCTTGTGATAGGCTTTTTTTTTATTTATTTTTTTAAATAATTTATTTTAGAATTAAAAAAGATAATGGGTAGTTATGTTCCATAAAAATAGGATCCATTATCTGATTTTTCTTTTAATTTTAATTTTTTTTAAATATGAAAACAAGTGAATTTACCATATTATCCTCATTTAATTAATAATTTCAATTCTTAATATTTGCATTAACCAAAAGCATTTTCTAGTATTTTGAATGTTTCACCATTCTCTGCCTTTTGTTATATATATATAATAATATAGTAAATTATATATATATATATATATTTTTTTTAAATTGTTTGGGACCTATTTCATCAGGTACTTCTTTTTTTTTTTTTTTTTTTTTTTTTTTTTTTTTTTTTTTTGTGGGGTGGTCTTCTCTTTTTAATTCTAAATTAATTTATAAAAAAAAAAAAAAAAAAAAAAAAAAAAAAATAAATGGCACCAAGGTAGTATATATGAAACATCGTCGGAAATTTAATTGTTTGTTGTTGAAATGTTCATAAAAACAAACTAACAAAATATATACATACAAAAATAAGTTTCAAAATAAATGCATAGTGCCCAAGTAAACTCCTTATATATCTTATGTCTCTTCAAAAGTTGTCAACAAATCCGCTGTAGCAATACTCACAAATGGATAATTGTAATCCGGGTTCGAATCCCGGTAGTGGAATTCTTTTTAAGTTAGATGTAAATGTGATCCATTTGACATCAGTTATAATAGTTGTCCTGATGAGCTTCTTTTTAAGTCTCTGTTTATATAGCAGCTTCTTCCCTAACTTGAGTAGAATCCAACTTGAGGAAATTAGTATTGACCGTATTCCACATGGGAAAATGGAAACGTTGTAATATAGTGCTTAAACTTCTCCACCTACTGTCAACTTCTCCAGCTACTGTCAATTAATTTTACGTTGAATGCTGATATTTTAACAGATAACGCTGCTCAATCAGGTTCTTATTTGACTATCAACATTGAAAAATGCATTACAAACTAAAGTTGATTTTATCATGGAATAATTTTTTTTTCATGGACCCTAAAATTTAGAAAACAATTAAAAAGGAAAAAAAGAAAAAGAAAAATAGGCAATTTAGGGTCTGTTCAGTAATGTTTTCAGAGAATATATTCAGAAAATGAAAATGAGAAAACGAATTTAAATTTTCAAGATTCGAGAATGCATCTGGTAGACTAACTGGAAAATATTTTCTAAGAACAAAAACAATGAAACATGTCTAATAAGAACATATGAAAATGACGAAAATACTGAATTGGCAACAGTATTATAAAAATTATTTTCAACATCATAAATCAAATATTGTGTGTAGCACATATCTTATAAGACTTATTAATAAGCCAAAAAAAAGTCTTAAAAATTGTGCAATGGTCTAATTAATTATCATTATCCAATACATGCTAGATAACCCAAAATGGGCTCATGTCCTCCAAGATATCATCCTACATCATAGATCAAATCTCTCATAGTCTCACAAATATCTGAAAAATATGCAACATAAATTTAAAATCATGTTGTCATGATGAGCATTAAATAAAATCCCGCCACAAATCCGTTGCGATCTTGTCTCTAATGTCGTACATTTGTGCAATATTTCCTACTGACATATCTAACGGTGGTGTTGTATTTTCTGAGTCAATGATCATGTCTTCAACTTGGAAATCTTTGATCATCCTATCACGACCAGCTTCTTTTCTTATAAAATTATGTAACACACAACATGCAATAGGAACTTGTCGTTGCCTTCTAGGAGGATAATTAGGCATCAATTTCAAAATTGGAAAAAGAGCTTTCAAAACACCAAAACATCGCTCAATTACATTACATAATGAGGAGTGCCTATAGCTCAACAATTCCATAGGACCTCTTGGTGCTCGTCGAGGTCCTCTATCATCACGCAAATGATATATCTCACCTCGGTAGGGTGCCAAGAATCCAGGCATGTTTGAATATCCAACATCCACAACAATACCCTGTAATTTATATTTATTACTTGCAGGACACAAATAATGTACATAATAATATTAATTGTAATCTTATGTTTATACCTTCATCTGAAAAAGGAAACTTATTTTTTTGCCTTATCACTGCATCTATGAACACCCTAGAGTCATTTGCAGTTCCTTCCCAGCCTGTATAAACAAAAGTGAACATCATGTCCAGAGAGCAAGTGCACATGACATTTTGAGTAATAAGGATCTTCCTACCATGATATGCGGTTTGCTTTTGAGTTGGTGCCCAAGCAGAAACATGAGTTCCATCAATTGCACTAATACACTTCTGCGATAAATTCATATATTTACAAACTATAAAGTAAATATAATTTAAAATATATAATTATAATAATAAAATAAATAAAATTAACAATCGATTTCTCACCTCAAAATAAGGACAATACTTTGGGTTATTCAAAATTTCATAAGGTGTTTCCCCTCGACTTTATGGCCTTATAATGCGTGGTGCTAATGCACATAAAGCTCCCAAAACACACTAAAATTGTCTATGAATTGTGTCTTTAAATCGTTGGAAACGCTCAACAGCCACTCGCATGCAGATATAATGAGACACTATAAATAAAAAAATTTCCATTGCCTTCTGAGTACCCACATGTCTATCATTATGTGGCAAATTTAAATTCTCAATTGTGTAACACAACCTTTGGAATACATGTTTGTCCATGTGAAACGAGTCTTAAATCCTATCTAGATGCCCATTCAAATATATTCATGCCCAGATAAAACAGAATTATGACACGGAGTTCTATCTACATATGATTGCCAATATTCATAAATATGAATACAAATTATCATATGATGCACCATTTCTTCAAGATCTGAATCACTATCGGAGTGATTGTCTTCATTCCTTATAGACATGTCTATTACCTTCAAATATTCAAATTCAATAAAGAATTATGCATACAAATTAAAGTCACAAAAATCTAAAATATGCAATTGCTCAGTCATTTTTTGTTGTTGGTAAATATGCATACAAATTAAAATCACAAACATCAAACAGAATAAGAAGAACAATTCATAAATATTCTCTCAACAATAAATATAAGTAGCAATCCTAAAGACTAGCCAACCAAGCTCTCTTCCTTGCTTCTGGCATTGTAACAAAGATTTTCCTCCATTCAACAAGCATTATCTTTTCTAGCATCTTGTTGATGTATTGTTATCAATGTCTCCCATTGTCTCAACAATCTGCTGCCGCTCCCATCCATCTAGCCGTCACGTCGCGACGACAACCCACAGCCCGGCCAGCCGATCCAAAGAACCAAAAAAAAAAAAAAAAAAAAAAAAAAAAAAAGCCAAACGCCGCCACCATCGATACCAATCATGACAACAACCTAACTGGGCCCACCCAGTTGGTTCTTGCGTCGAAGAAGAAAAGAAGAAGAAAAAAAAATCAAATTCAACTTACCTTGGGGTACACGACAACTCCTCTCTTCGACAAGCAGTACAATTCTCCAAGATATCAAGCTAGAAAGTAAAGAAGACAAGTTTTGAATTTGAAGAAGAGTGAAGTGAAGCCTTGTATTTATAAAGGTTGGGCAACTTAGGTCAAGAAGGAAGCACAAGTCTATTCCCATTAGGACCTCAACTCAAGAAAAAGTCAAAAGCCTACTCCAATTAGGAACCCAATTTGCAAACAATTCCAACTCAAATAAGAAAGCCCAAATGCAGTTGGAAAGCTCGAAAGTATTTCTCACCTCCTCCATGCCTCACAAGAGCCGTGCAGAAGTTGAGGGGCATTTGTGGGAGAAAATAATATGGCTTCCAATCACAAGGTGCCACATGGACAAGAAGAATATCTCATAGTTCAATTAATTGAGCCCATTTATTTGGCCAATTAATTGATACTAAAAATAGGGATATTATCTTAAATATGGGATATTATCTTAATATGAGATATTATCTTTATTTGGGAATATAATTACCAATTAAAAGATAATAGCATCAATTTAGGATATTATCTTAATTGGGAGATATTATCATCAATCAGTGATTTAATCCCAATCAAATTCTTAATTGACTTAACCTCTTCATTTAGGGGAAAAAAATATCTTCCTTCCAAATAAGAAGATATTCTTTGAAAATCTCTCCATTTAGGTAATCCCGAAACCTAGCTCTCTCTCTCTCTCTCTCTCTCTCTCTCCTAGCCGACGGCCTCTCTCACTCTTATCTCTCCCACACGGCCAAGTGCCACCACACACAACTCTGGCCACCCATCTCTCCCCATGAGAGAAAGCTCCGTACCCCTTTTAGCTATTGCCACATATTTTCTTAAAGATCCAATCGAACTAACTTAAGCATCGGAGGGACTTTGACCAACACCTTCCGAGTGTGGGTTTTTTACTCCTGTTTGTTTCGCAGGAACTGAGGAAGAGAGAGAAGGAAGCTCAAAAGGTGAAGGATCTACATGCGAATATTCTTCCTTGAGAAATTTACATAAACAGAAGAAGTGTGACATGTTCTTGGTTAAAAAATATCCATCCGAAACAAGGAAAAAATTGTAAAACTAAACTTAAGAAATTATACCTCTATTCTGGTCAGCATGAATGGATATGTCCAAACAAATTTTAATCCAAACAAGAAAAATCAGAGGAGAAGGTTTAGGGTTTCACAAACAGATCTACCAAGTAAAACGAATTAACATATGATATATATGGGCAAAATAAACAAATGAGACTAAGATAAAACTTCTAGAAACGTGACAAATTGTCACTGTACTTATCCTTGGAAGTAATTTTACGTAAGCATAACAATTCGAAATAAAAGATAACCAAACAAAAAATCCTATGAATGGATGGGACGAGGAAAATTGAAGCTGACCATAAAGGTTACTTGGGATGTATCCAAAGGAAAAAAATAAAGGGGAAATACTATTTTCCTTCCTTGTTTTACTTTTCTCCCTCATTAATTGTACTTAGCTTAGCTTCCATGCATCTTCTCCTCCTTCACGGCAGCCTGGCCCATCAATCACGCTAGGAAAATGGTTACGAGTGTTTTTCAAAATCACGAGTGTTTCTTAGTCAACGTTTTAATTTGATATGGTTGGCATTTTTCCAATTCTCCCAGTCTTGCTACTTTGACATTTCTTGGGTTTCATTATCTAAATTAATATCTAGTATTTGTTTTTTTTATGTTTGCAAGTAACATGTACTGCCAATATTCAAAGTACCTGCTATTACAAATAAACCTACGTAAACAGGGACTAAGCGTTTATGGCCCTTTTCCTAGTATTGATGACCTATCATCTAATGTTTCCCTATTGGCCTCTAAAAGATCTTTTAGTTACTTCTTTATTAATGTGTACACGTGACTAGAGATCACCATCTAATAGTTATCACGTTTTCCGTTTACATGTGTGGTTGTGACTAAGTTAACAATTGTAAATATATATGTTTATCCAATTGATCACTTTTTCTACACTTATCCACAGGCCTATATGATGACTTTAATTTTTCTGGATTGAATTTGAATTTTCTGTAATATATATTTTTTGGGATAATGTAAACAGGGGACTTCATTGCAGGTCAATGACGATATCTAGGAATAATCCAACAGTCTAGGACCAAACATTATGAGTAATTTGTTAGTTTCCTTAGGGTCCTGTTTACCCGTTACCATGGCAGCTTAGACCCGTAATCAAGTAGCAAGAAAAGATCAAAAGTTAGGCACGCTACAAGCCCTATATAAAGCACCCCTTGGCACCCAAGTTCATCATCGTATCCTCCTCTCCCAGTTAGAAGTTAATTAAGTTTATCAGCAAGAGCAACAGCAAGCCAATTAAGACATTTCCATGACGATGATGAAGAGCCAAGCAGCTCTCCTCGGCCTCACCACCTTGGCCATCCTCTTCTTCTCAGGTATAATATTATACAAACTTTGTTAGGTGATCTGATATCGATCAAAAGTTTATTTTTACAATTGTCTCTGTAATCTTTATTCTTATGATCACGTTGAATATGCAGGTGCACATGCAGCTAAAATCACTTTCACAAACAAATGTTCCTACACCGTCTGGCCAGGAACCCTAACCGGTGACCAAAAACCTCAATTATCACTCACCGGGTTCGAGTTAGCAACCGGAATTAGCAACTCTGTGGACGCTCCGTCCCCGTGGTCCGGTCGCTTCTTTGGCCGAACCAGGTGCTCCACGGACGCGTCAGGAAAGTTCACTTGTGCCACAGCAGATTGTGGCTCTGGCCAAGTCTCATGCAACGGTAACGGCGCAGCTCCGCCAGCTACATTAGTAGAAATCACTATTGCGGAGAACGGGGGTCAAGATTTCTACGATGTTAGTCTTGTTGACGGCTTCAACTTGCCTATGTCCGTGGCTCCACAAGGCGGCACCGGCGAGTGTAAGGCCTCAACTTGCCCTGCCGATGTTAACAAGGTGTGCCCGGCTGAGTTACAAGTGAAGGGATCTGATGGAAGCGTAATTGCATGCAAGAGCGCTTGCTTAGCATTCAACCAGCCACAATACTGTTGCACTCCCCCTAACGACAAGCCGGAGACATGCCCTCCCACTGAGTACTCTAAGATCTTCAAGGACCAGTGCCCTCAAGCTTATAGCTATGCTTATGATGACAAGAGCAGCACCTTTACATGCAGTGGTAGACCTGACTACCTCATCACATTCTGCCCATCATAGGCATATATATATATATATATATATAATGGGATCTTATATGTTATAATATTATATACACATAGTTCCCAATAATAGAGAAGAATAAATAAATTTCCTGGATCTTGACACATTATTGATGTCAAGAATTTGTAATGCAGACGATCAAATAAAGGAATAAATGTTTGGATTTATTTTCGTTCATGGCTTTCAAATTTTTGTTTCCTTCATTTCCTTATATGATGCATTATTTCCAGCGCAACAAAGATAAAGAGAGTTAGCTACAATTGAAATGGTTATCAAACGGGAGTTTAGACACAGATTGTAATTTTCTGTCATAGCTGGTAAGGAATAAGCATGGCCATTTACAAAACTATAGTATGAACAACACTGAGAAACACAAGTATGGCCATTTCAAACAGACTACATATAACTTCATATTCCAACAATGAATCAACAGCACCCATGGCCATTTACGTTTGCAGCATCTGAAGATAGATCATCTAAATAATGTTAAAAGGATAATAGTTTCTAAAGTTCTTTATTAAAAAAATCAATAGACAACCAACAGAGACTGTTTTGGTGAATTAGAGACAAATTTTGTTTTGGAGAAGATGATTAATTCTCAATGTTTGACGACTGCATAATGCTAAAATATGAATATGGTTTGAATACTTTACTTTAGGTTAGTTGTATTCTTCTCCATAAAGAGGTATATATAGGAGTTTACAAGGATGCTTTACAAGGAAATAGATACAGTAAATCACCATGGTATACAAAGTGACTTAGAGACAAAAATTGAAATGGTTCCCAAAGCCTTCCCTTAGCAAGCAGGTACCATTGCAAGAATGGTTCCATAGTCAATAATGCCAAGACCCGGAAGGATGATCTCGAATTTATATGCATGTTTTAATTTCATGGGCCTGTGTTTTTATTCTACTACAATAATTAGGATTTGTTTACAACTATGACTTTTCCCAGAGCAATTTCAGGGACCGACTTGACTTTCACCATGCGGCTTCTGGAAGTGCAAATGAGCCATGCACAAGACTTTTAGAGTGAGCTCTTTGGACGTGGACTTGTTAAAACATGAAAAGGTTTTGTGCTGATTTTTCTCAATCATACAATCCGTTAATATACAAATTTATATACACGGAGACTACTAAAGAATGTAAGACTTTAAGATCATACAAACTACAAGTACTTGTTGAGTCCATGTTTTTTTTCATCCAGACAT